AACATAGCCGAAAATATCTCAAATCCTCAATAAATATAGAGACAACATTTTAAATAAATTGCGTTTTTTTTTCTAATGGAATTAAACTTAATAACTGTCCTGGTTTATGTGAGGTGATATAAGCCTAAATTTTATTCAAATGATTTAGTGGACAGTAATAATGTTTGAACAAAACAATGTTTTCTCAAAGTTTTCCATAGAAAATCTCATCTGTTCTAACTGAAAGAAAACAGCTTCATAAAACTGCACATCATCCATCAGGCCACTAAATGTGAAGACTCTGTTCTACAGTCATCAGTATGCAGTCTAATTGTTCTTCTTTCTATATTCCCTACAAGTTCATATTCTGTTGGTATGAAGAAACTCCAGGGCAAATGTGTGTGGATTCCATTTTGATTAGAAGTTAGAAAAAAACTACATTCTCATTTTTTAATCTTACACATTACTTTCACTCAACTAACAAGAAATAATTTTGACTTTACTTTCATTTTCTCTTTCAAACTTAACGTCCAATATATGTTAAGGGCCTGCCATGATAATTGTCATTCAACATTAAGTAAAAGGTAATGTGTAGATCAGGGAACTTCAGATTATCACAGTCAATGCCTTAGGTCCTATCCATACACACCTCACAGACTCTGAGTTAGCCACATTGACTCACAGCTTATGGAAGGATAAGTACTTTTCTTAGTTTCAGTTGATTTGTACTTTGGCAATGATCCAGACTTTGAAACAAATATAATCAAGATGACTGACAAACTGAAAAACAACCCAATTAAGTCACTATTCAAAACTTGGAATGCCTGGAAACCTATTAAATTATCTTCAGTGGATGACTGCCATGTTATCAAGAGCCCAGAACATCGTTTGTCTTTAGCCAAGAAAGCCAATGCAAATGCCTATCATTTCAAGGAAAGCAGACGTAAGTATAAGTGGACACTTGAAAAAGAGCTTAGAAATTAAAAAAGTATATTTGGATGACTCCTGGATGCAGGCATTTAAGTATCATGCTCCAATACTCAAGGATTAAAGCTATCTAAAATAAACAAAAATAAGGAGTAAAACTGGAAAATTATAGGAAGGAAGACATTTTTAAAATCTACAATTCTATCAATTTTTTTTGTCTTTTTGAGACAGGATCTCTCTGTAGCCCCAGCTGTCCTGGAACTCACTATGTAGATCAGGCTGGCCTTGAACTCACAGAGATCCACCTGCCTTAAATAAGCCTTCTTGTGCAGAGATAAAGATGAAATGATTATTAGGCAATTCCACATAACAGAGAGATATATAATTGATACCTATATAGAATACAGAGTAAATCTGATCTCCAACAGCAGTATAATACTTTATAGTATATCCAAGAAAATTATTGAATATTCTACCAATAAAGAAAGCACTCTATTCTCTATTTGGAAATTATTATGACATTAAGACTCTTCTATATCTCCCATGGAAATATATCTGTATTATTCAATATAGAGATACCCATGTCATTGACATTCCTCTCCAGAGTTTGATTATATATATTCAACTTTTTTTGGTCTTTTTGAAACAGGGTCTCCCTGTAGCCCCAGCTGTCCTGGAACTCATTATGTAGACCAGGCTGCCCTTGAACTCACAGAGATCCTCCTGGCTCTGCCTACCAAGTACTGGGATTAAAGGCGTGGACCACCACGCCCATCACATTCAACTTTTTAAATTTTTATGTGTGTGCATGTATTGCCTACATGTAGGTAAGTACACCTGTGCTGTGCAATGCCCACACACAAGAGAGGCTGTCAGATCCCCTAGAACTGGAATTACGGACAGTTGTGAGGTGCCATGTGGGTGCTGGAATTGAAACTGGGGTCATCTGCAAGAATAACCAGTGTTCTTAACCACTGACCCATCTCTACACCCCACAGTCAACTTTTTGTGAAACATTATGTTGCCTTTCTCATATGTACTTTCATTCAATATTTACACTTAAAATATTGTTTGAATATTTCATTTTTAAAACATTCTATTATTTTTTTAAATGGGTATGAGTGTACTGCTTGTATGTATGTTAGTGCATCTGTGTCATGCAAAGCCCAAGTGGTCAGAAGACAGTATCAGACTCCTGGAACTAGAATTATGGATGATTATTAGCTACCATGTTGGTGCTTCGAATTCACCCAGGGTCATCTGCAAGAGCAGCCAGTGCTCTTAACTGCCAATCCATCTCTACAGTCCCTTGTTTTATACTCCTGATAATCCCAAAATTCTTACCTCTTCTTTGTGGTACAATACAAAAATTTACAAAAGAATTACATATGAGCACCAAAACTACAGCATTAAGCAGATGTCAAGATTATCAAATGGTGTCTGAAATGGAATATACACAGTGCATACATCATATTTGTAAACTAGAGATGCATTTAAAGATGTTAAATTTTAATCTAGATTGAAAGAAGCACATGCAAGCTTTTAGAAAGTATATGCTGAAAAATTTGTTTGACTGGGACATCTTATCTGCAAGTAATGCATAGTTCAGAAAAAATGATGAAAGGAGAATGGTAAGAAGAATGCAGAGCACAAGTCAGCCTGGATAAAGAGTAGATGAAGAGAAGATGAAGATTCTGTATATGACCCTTGTACATTCTAAAGCTAAAATTGTATCAAAAAGAAAAAAAAGGAATAAAAAAACCTCAAAATAAACTATTCTTTTATTTGGCAGGGGGGTCTTTTGGAGACAGGGTCTCCTGTAGCCCCAGCTGTTCTGGAACTCACTATGCAGACCAGGCTGGCCTTGAACTCACAGAGATCTACCTGCCTCGGCCTCCCCAGTGCTGGGATTAAAGGCATGCACTACCAAGTCTGGCTAATTCTTAAGGACATTATAAAGAAATGCTACAATTGGAATCATTTAGTGGTTTCTAATTCAAAATATTTGGACATTTCTTGAGATTGAAGGACAAATACTACTTTTATTATCAATCAACCATAACTGTTTAATTTTTGTAAATCCATGGCTTTGTGACATTTAAATTAGTCATTTATTTATTTATGTATTTATTTACATAAATACATTATGTATTTATTTACATTTTTGAGACAGGGTCTCCCTGTAGCCCCATCTGGCCTGGAACTCATTACAAAGACCAGGCTGGCCTCGTACTTACAAAGATCCACCTGCCTCTGCCTCCCAAGTGCTGGGATTAAAGGTGTGTGCAACCATGCCCACCTAGACTTATATTTTAAAAATATCACTTCACCTATCAGGTTTTCTATAATTTCAAAGGCTATTGAAATGCATAAATACAATTCTAAATGAAAATTATCATGGTCATTTTACCAATATTCTGGCATTTTCAAGAGCAATTTCACAATATTGACTAAACCAAAAGCATAAACACATG